AGGATCTGAAAAATCAACCCTGGCGCTATATACTTCGCTATAATAGTTAGTATCTTAGAAGCTCTTTTAGAACCCTATCAGGAACAGTACACACAGTAAGTCGTTTTTTTTTTTAAATTCCAACAACGATTCATCAGAAAGTTAGCCAATAAAATTCCATCAAAATGATCAATATCATGTCATGTGAATACCGTCACCCGATTTTCACGTTTTAAAGTTTTTTATATAAACCCTCACTCTCCAGTGTTTATTCATCAAAATTTTTTGGGCGTGCACTGTTAGGCCTCAGCAGTAACTAGGCAATGTCTAGACGTTTATTGTTCTGTCAAATAATATACTCTACCCAAAATTTCTGGACAAGCTTTAAGTCTGCCCTGTCGCAGTTGCAGACTGGTAGTGTCTCAAAACACGCACCGTTAGGCCTCTACGATGAGTAGATAATGCCTAGACGGTTATTGCTTGATACTCAGAATTGGGAGAACATTAAGATCGTCTTCATTGTTTGGATGTTGTTATGCAGACCGGCAACGTCCGCTTTTTTTGGGGGAAGTCGGTAGAATTCTACTGACTTCCCTTTTTTTTTGTTTTATAGTTTATAATAACAGGTGGGTATAGAAGTATTAGTATCACTTTGGTTTATTTTAAACGTATGAACCCAAAATGAACCCGAAATGTGTAGAAATCATTTAAGTGAAATGAGACTTCAAAACTTTCAATTATTATTTTTCAGTTCGTGAAAATATCAAAGTATGTTATTTTTTTTTATTTAATATTACAAGTGTTATTAACATATCACACTTATATTATAATTTTAAGACTAACTTATAAAATATAACTTACTTAAATATACATGCAAAGCTATTGATATGCGAAGAGAACTTCTACAAATTTTGCATATAGAAACTAAATTTTCACAAAGTTTTTTTATCGCTTTTAAAGCATTATTTCAGTCAACGGGCAAGTGGATCAAGTAATGCATCTAGACTAAAGGACCATTAAGTTGGTCACTCACTCATAATGGGTAATCTAGGCCAAATACTAAAAGTGGCTTCGGCACATGGGACGATATAGAAAGGAACAAAATTCGAAAAAGAAATCAACTATTTGCTGCTTGGCCTTAAGGGAACTTTCTTGAAGATCGAATCCTCACGTAATTAATTGTTATGCCGCACTTGCTCGTTATTTGAGAGAAAATACCACGCAATAGAGATTGGTAAAATTTCCAAAACTGCTTCAATGGAAAAATGGTGAATATGAAAACCACTATTTGGCACTTTCTAACCAATTAAGACTTCGATTCTAATTAAAATCTAATGAAAATAAAATAATCTATAACAGATTATAAAATTAAATTGGCCATATAATATCATAGGCAAACATTGATAAGGATGAGTATCTATGCAATCTCGAATCAATTACATAGTATTGTGAAGACATAAACATTATCAAAAATCAATCGTTAAATTGGAACAGGATATGAGTGGCATAGTTGAAATATTCAAATGATTAAGTATTTGCAAGCTCAAGATTTTTTATTAAAAAAATGTCTAAAACAACAATTTTTCATGAAAATTGAGTCTTCCATTATGCTTCAAAGAACAAAAATAAATAAAAAAAGAAGGCATTGTTACTTTAAAGAGTACACTAGTATGAATCCGACAGATATAATTTCATTGTGTTGGTTTGCTTGTTCGGATTATCGAAATTCGGATTATCGTGAGTCAACTAACCTTTTATTTAAATAAGTTAACCCTGTTTTAATGGTATACCAATTTTTTTAATAATAAATCGGTTTTTATAGTAAAATATTTAAAATCGGTTTAAACTCAGCTAGATTCGGTTTGTGAAACTCCAACCGTTTTCTGACCTCTATTTGGTGCACGATAACACATCATACGTATGGTGATAAGTAAAATTTTCTCAACTGTGCCGTGACATGCGTCGGTCAATTATTGAACAAATTTCATATTATACATGTAGTTATTAATGCAATATGGAGGTGCCAGTAGAAACCAAGCAAATTGTTGTTAGTGAGTTTTTTTAAAATTTTAAATCAAAATATCTCAACTAATAAACCAAACTTGATAAAAAATTTTTTATTTTAATTCTATAACTACATAGAATTAAAATAAAAATTTTTTATTAAGTTTGGTTTAATAGTTGTTGAGATTAATTTATTTCAAAGTTTTAAAAAAATTTACTTAGAAACAATTTGCTTGGTTTCTACTGGCACCCCCATATATTAAAATAAATTATTGAATATTTTTTTAAAAAAAAGCATTAATACTTTAAAGAGTGCATTAAAAGAAGTATAACAAATATTATCGTATTGCTATCTATAATTAAAATCGAAACTATAAATCAAATAGAAAAGCGCATTAAAAGAAATAATTATTATTTGTGTATGTTCGCTAGTTCAAGTATTATTTCAGTTTGAATTTTTATGATTAATGAAAATTTTCACTATGAAAATTTGTGGACACGTATAATCATACGTATCACAGTGTTCATCCATGATAATCAGTCAATTATATGGTGATCAGGCTCCAAACATTTAAAGCTACGTACGTACCTACTTAATAACGCTAATAAATTTATTTATTTTATTAATTATATATCAAAAATATATATATTTATATTATTTATACTAAAATTTTGCTAAACAATATAGTACATAAAAAAAGTAAAAAATTAAAATTCACATGTTCTTAACTTCATTAGTGCAATAAGGTAGATTTTTGCTTCATAGTATTTGACCGAATCTTATGATGCAATTTTGACTTGTTAATTTACAATCGCAAGCCTTTGAGGAAGTTCATGAATTTTCTCGAATGTTTTTCATATAGATATATTTTCTAGCAATTTAGTGTGATAACTTAATCGATAGTTGAATTATAATTGAATTAATTTATTAACTTTTGTATAATTGCTTTATAGATTTTAATAGCCTATATATGGGTTTTTAATAATCTTAGTATTCAGGTTATATATTTTCGTTTTTTGACCATATGTTCTGAAGCTTTGCTTCCTGATTCGAACTGAAAAGTCTCTATCTGCTCAAAAAAAAGCCCAAATTTGTTTTAACTGTGCAACTGTATCCTGTGGGATGCGATTCTTGTTCATTTGACATGTAGAAGTCCGGTAATTGTCGGGATTGATAAACAGGTGATAAAATACAGTAATATAATTTGGTGCTTTCTTGGTTCCACCAGGGTAAATGATTTATTGCCACCCCGTCTAAATTAGACAGTAAATTGACCATCTGACCTATCTCTAACTCTCCTCTAACTCTAATGTGTGTTATCAAATTACTATTTAATTTAGATGGGATGGCATCAAGACTTCTCTATATAACTTTATTCAATCCATCACTTTACCTATCCCGTCATAATACCCCTTTACCTTATACTTAAATAAAGATAATAAAATCTAAGATTCTCTTTTTTTTAATCATTATCTTACAAATTTAACTGCGAATTAATTATAATAGAATAATGTTAGGAACGAATTCCTTTAAACTTCTTTACTTTTTGACATGTTTATTCCCTATTGTATCAGCATCAGAAAGACTGCAATATTCTAATATGTTTAACTATGGAACGAGAGAATATACTCTTTATTTTATAGTCACTGTAATCCTTCTACTGCTTATGACTCCAATGCATAAGCTATTTAGCGTATCAACCTTTTTTAAGATATCATTCTTTATTGTCCTAATAATATTCGTGGAAGTAATTTTTCCATATATATTCTCTTACCTGGCAGTTTTCAGTACAAGAACAATAATTTTATCAAGTATTAGTAATATGTTAGTAGATTTTTTACTAATAGGATTAATTCCCAAGAAAGAAGAATTCACGAAGACTATAAAGACAATTCTCTTTTTTATGGGTTTAATATACACATGTATTTTAATCTATTTAATTGGAATTTTTTCTAAATCATTTTTCGATTTTGAAATTCATATTCCATTATTAAGTGTCACTTTAGGTATATTAGCAGGTGTAATAATGATGGCAAGAGTAATAACTTGTTCAGACTGTCGTCAAAATATTGCAACAATAATCGTATCTGCTTTATTAATTTTAGGTGGAATAGATTATTACCTATTTTTTATGCTGACTTAAAAAAACGTCACACTATTAATATAGTAAATTATTTGGATAGATTTATAGCTTATTAGCATTATTATTGAGAATAGAATTAGTAAAGTTTTAAAACGAAACTAAGAATTATCTTAGGGCTAGAAATTAGTTAATGTATAATTTTTTTAACATAAAAATGTATTATTAATTTTCTATCAGTGTAATTTAATCAAATTATTATAAATCAAATATACCAAAAATCAAAAAATTTGAAAATTCTAAAGTCGTTAATTAGTAGACGATCAATGATATACAACATCCATAAAAATAGTTCTTTTCAATTATAATGCTTCGAATCATTTCTATTATTGTACGTACATTTAAAATTATGAGTTAATGTTGATCATACTTGCCATGAGATGATTGTCGTGTGTAAATACGAATATGTCATGATTATCACGGTTATCTGAAAAACAGATATTCTACGAATTTGTTCATAAAAAGACCTTGTTAGATAAATGTTCACCTTTTTCATATATAGCAAATGATGATGAAAGTTTATCAAATACTCAATTTGTACATTCATGCGTGTATAAACTATAAACATTATAACCAAGTTAAGAGCTGAAACATGCTTGGACGTCTAAAAAAAGCGCAAAATTACTGTAACGTACATTAATATTTATAAATCTACTGATTATTGGATTAACTGATTAATAAGATTTTCTTGAAAATTTGATTCGCGAGATATGAAGACATCGCAATTTATGAAAATCCCAGGGTGTACGTGAGGTACATCTCTCTATCATGGTTGATGGCCCAATATAGAGAAGGGCAAAAAGCAAATTTTGAGCCATTCCAGTGGACATTATGCGCTAATGCTCATGTTGCACATTACTTGCATGTAATTAAAATTTACAATGATTCAGATTTCTTTACTATTTGATCGTGTTTAGCACTTAACGTTAAGTGCGCAGGCATAACCACATATCTGATATATAGTGATTCATATAATCATGAAAGATTTTCTTTTTATTTTTTTCATGAGTTACGATGCAATTATGCTTATTCCAGCATTCAAATTAAAACTCAGCGAGCGAATCATGATCATAAATTGCCCGGATAACATCATTATTGGGCAAACGGTAATTTGACAAATGATTGGCTACACGTGCTCATTTGCCAAGTTACCGTTATTCCACAATTTTCCCAATAATATAGAGTTATTGGATGCGAAGCAGCCAATAATGTATACTTATTGCCATGAATAAAAAATACATCACAAAAATCCTTGATAACTATTTCAATTGTCCTACATTAGAATGAATAACGATAGAATTTGTGTTACTTTAATTACAGTATCATTAAACTACCAATACAACATATTCATAGTAATAATTCATTTAATTGTAATAGGTTTACTTAAACGAAAACCAGTAATTTCTTAGAATTCTAGAACTTTTTGAATAAAATTTCTTCGTAGTATGATAGATCAGGTGCTGCAATTGTTTGTGTCGCACGATGATGTACAGAACGCATTTATGCTTGTTGTGCGTGGTAAGATTATACGCATTGTATCACCACGACAAACTTTAATTCTAGAAAATAATGTTAGAAAAACCTCATCTACTTTTCTTGACTTATCTACTCACTCCTGTATCTCCTCCATTTTCTGTTAAGTCTAACTTTGAAATAAAGGATTGTATGCCCTATGTTATTGTTGCTATAATCTTTCTAATCCTTATTACTCCACTGTACAAATTTAAATTGCTCAGAATAGTAATCTTTGCTATCTTATTATTTCTTTAACGAGCAATTTAACGAACAATTTTCCGATTATACTTTCTTACGTGAAGGAAGGTTTCAGCACTGTAAAAATAAACTTAACAAATTTAGTGATCAAAGAATAGTACTATTAATAGAGTTAATTCGCAGACATAAATGTGATTCAACATTTATACAAATATTTTATACAAATATTTTACTATTTTGGAGGGGGTTTTTTTTTTTGCGCTTGGTTTCAATACTTCATTTTAGTTATCATTTTAAGCTATAATATTTATAATTTTTTTATTTTAGGTGGAGGAGATCGTTTTAGGCAGATTGATTGGTTTGTATTATTTTCTATTATATTGTCAATGAAGATATTATAAGTTTTAGCGAGAGTGAACAATTTTAATTATGTTATTTTTTTTTATTTTTTAGAATATTATGAAAAAATATCATATTATACATACTATGTAATTTATTGTTTATAATGATTACAGGTCATGTTATGTTTTTTCCAAAAATTGTTTGGGAACATTATTTACATTGATTATTATGTTAAAAGCCCTAACAATCTTGATATTCAGAGAAAATTACTAGATCCATTAGATTTGAAAATATATTCCAAAAACGTGTGTAATTAATTAATTTCATTTTGGTCACAAATTTCTGTACATTGTAAATTTAATTCGATTTAACGATACAAAATTAATCACAATCTGGCTGGGTCTGTTTTTATAAATCCTTTTAAAAAAATTTTTTTTTTGCATGTTACTTATCTGAATAGGCTTTTAAAAAATTTTTCGTACTTTTTTTAGATGAAATATATTTTTTTTATTATGCTTTAAACAGAATTACTTTCATAATTCATACGAAAAATCATTACTTAGTTTTGATAGTTATTTTATTTACTAAATTCATCACTTGATCCTAAGATTGATTATCGCGGTTGGTGTAAACTTTGGACTTAAATTAATATGAAATTTAAATTTTTTTTTAAGGATTGAGCTAAAATTTAGGGTTAGAGTTTATAATAAGAGTATACGTGGATTTTAGTAGGTTTATATTTTCAAATCGAGGCCCTACGTTTTCAACGGGTTTGGGTCAAAATCCCGACAAACAGAATCCCGACAGGTCATAATCCCGACAAAAAAAGCCCGACAATCAAAAATCCCGACAAATCCCGACAATCAAAAAAAGTGTTCGTTGAGCAATTTTACTATATAAAATCACCTATACCCTAACCCTAACCTAGGCGCACACCCTAACCCTAACCTATGCACTCACCTAATCTTACCCTAACTTAAATAAACAATAATTTTTTGTTGTCGGGATTTGTCGGGATTTTTACTGTCGGGATTTTTTTGTCGGGATTATGACCTGTCGGGATTCTGTTTGTCGGGATTTTGACCAGCACCCGTTTTCAACATCGGCCAATGTCAGCGTCAGTTGCAATATCAGCTGATACCGATTTTTTCTTAATACAGAGCTACTTAACGAAAGTGAGAAATAAGATATCTAAATCCATTAGACTCTAGAAATTTTAAAAAACTTATTTCAGTCCCGAGAATTGATCCTAATATCATCAGTTTTGTTTCACGATTGAAAAAAAGGAATATTGTTCAACCAATGTTGTTATCGTGGGATAGTATTTTCAGGAGCTAGTAAGTCCATATTTTAAGTAAAGATGGTTTTCATTTTAATTAATTACAAACCGATCGAGCCAGTTTGCATCTCTAATTCTGTGAAGTGAAATATTCGAAAGTTAAAGTTATACATGAACACGCATCGATTTCAAATCGAGAATAAGATAATGATCTATCCGTAGAATTTGTGCAGTAGAGATCTATATGTTAACCTGTAAGCAGGGATCTGGAAAATTTTGGATACCAAATTGCAAAATTTATTTAGATATTAGTTAGTGTATGGATAAAATTTTGATAAAATTTTAGAATTATCAATTTATTATTAACCAATTAAATGCATAATGACAAGGCTTTGTATTAAAATTTATCTGTTTTTAAAATATAGCAAATTTAACATTTCAATAATTTACTTAAAATTTGCCTGTTTTTTCTTCTAAGAATTAACTATGATAATGAATCTTTGGGTACTAAGTAAAAGTTTTCAGCGCAAAATTTTATATATAGTCTGCCTTCTCTAACCCTAATCCCACCTAACACCAACTCTAAATCTCGATAATCTTTAGTAAATTTCGCAAAGCACATTTTTGCATGATTTCACGTGATGTGATAACTCAATCGGTTGATGTTGCATATCAAAAACTTTTTTAAATAGCGCGAAATAACGGCCATGGGTTTTGTTTTGAATAATGGCCCGAATTAAATTAATTTAGGCCAAAATTCGAAATACACCCTGGGCGTTATTTCGCGCTTATACGGTATACTTTACCAATAAAAAAAATACATCATTCTGACATAGTTTAATGAATATATAAAACGTAATGTTAAAGCTTTTCGATAAACACTACTATTTGCAAAATCGTCATATATCAGAAGCCCCCTAGCACTACCAACCTAAAAAATTTCGCTCATCACATGTTGGCCAATCAAAATTTTTTTCTTAACACTAACAACTACGATACTGTTAAGATATTTTTTTAAGAAAAAAAAAAAAAAGAAAATTATACATTTAAAATTAATTTTTATTAATAAAAAAAAAAAAATTTCTTTATTTATTAAAATTAACAATAGCTACTTTTTACAAAAAAAAAAACAGAAATAACTATTAAGAAACCATTCTCCGCAGCCTAATTAAATGCTTCTTTTAAAATTTTTCTAATAGAAAATTTATTTCTAACCCTAACCCTAACTCAATCCCCAAATTACAATGTACAAGAGAAAACAACTTTTGTAGGCATGCAACTAATCCTAACCCAACCCAAACTACACTGTTGAATTCTCAGTAAAATGAATCACTGAAGAAACAATGAAGAGACCACTAAAAGAATAATGAATAAAGTGGTGAAAGAAGCACCGAAAAAGCAAAAGAACAACAAAAAAAAAATGTTGACCTAAAAAAAAAAAAGTCTGGGAAAAAGTATTAAGAACCAAAAAACCACTAAAAGAACAACAAATAATGACAGAAAACTCCAAAAAAATGATGAAAGAGTGCCAAAAAATCACCGAAAAGCAACAAAAGAAGTTCTGAAAAAGCGACCGAAAAAAGAAGCTCCAAAAAAATGACGTGAAAAAAATTAAACAAAAATGATGGAGAACGACAAAAGAGCACCAAAAAATTACCAAAAGCGACGAAAGAAGTGCTAAAAAAGTAACTGAAAAAAGAAGCTCCAAAAAATGACGCAAAAAAAATTATCAAAAAAAATTGTGCTAAAAAATAAAAAAAATAAAAAATCTAATTTTAGTAGTTAATCAGCCTATTACATGATCAGCGAAGTTTTTTAGATTGGTTATGCTAGGGTCTTAATACTTATAAAGAAAGAAAACTTTGCAAAAATTTTAAAGATTGTTGAAAGAAATGAAAAATCAAAATTACAATTGATGATGATGATGACTATGAAGTAATAATAAATGCTATTAAGTTTATATCACATAAAATACTAACAAAAAAAACTTAGGCAACTCACGAGTCTGAAAATACTATAACCGATCAAGAAAAAAATATAGGATCTAGCTTCGATATATCTGAGAAAGGCAGTACTAATGACATTGAGAAAGCGGGATTTTCACATGCTGATAATGGTCAAAATAAACCAGATAACTTACACTCAAGCATTAAGGAAAATGCTATATGCATAAAATTTTCTGATAAAAAATCATTTATGTTAAAAATACTTAAAATAAAAATTCTAGATCCAGCCTAATACCACTGAGTATATTCAAGTAAACAAAATGCAAGTTATAGATCCTAATATTCAGGTAAAATTGCTAGCTTTATTTGCAAATAACATATAATTTTTTGATAACACTAAAAATTTTTTGTTATAAAATTCAAAAGGGTCCATTACTTTTTAACAACTCTTCTTTAGATAAAATCACTTGAGTAAGCGAAGTACAAAGCATAAAATTTAATAATTAGGTAAAATTGCTCTAAAAACTATTTTTTTTAAGAATTTATATTAAATTGAAGAAAACTAAAAATAATTTTAATAATGAAAATTCATAAGGAGCCACTGCAAAATGATGATAGCTTTCCCTCAAATGAATATTTTGATATGGAAGAAAACGATGAATTGGTTTTTGATGCTTTAGCTTCATTGCCACCTGAAGGAAGAAATGAGGCCATCAGCTTATATAAAAGCAATGGCAATGAAAAAATAGAATATGCCTCAGAAAGTCAAATAAATAATAAGCATGCTAATAGTCAAGTAAGAATTGATTCATTACCCAATTTAACTTATTTAACTAATAACTTTATTAAAATTAAAGCCAAACGGTGAGAGTGTATATAATTATCCAATCGTATTAATAACAGAACCTCTGCCAATTATTCTATTAAATAATGACAGGCAGGTGTGTATAAGGCCCAAAATGATAATCGATAGCTTGAGTATAGATTACTTTTTTTCTATACCAAATTTCTTTTTTTATTATTGAAAGAAGTGACACATAGTAAAAAACATAAAATTCCAAATGACATTTTAAATAATAAAAAAATGAAAAGAAAACATGTACAATATACTTCTTCAAGATACGATTCCAAAGGTATTTATTTAATATTTATTATGAATTAAGTAATGACTAATTAAATTAAAGAAACATTTCTATAAACTTTATTTGTATTAAAGAAACTACACCAGAAGCTACACCATATCAAAAAAATACTAGTGGTACAGTACATATTTTTTTCATAATGCAGCATTATAATAATTAATTTTACATGTTTATTAGATGATGAATTTGCATAGGAATTGCAATTAAGTAATTTAACTTTTATTGCAAATTCAAAGCAAAATTTGGCACAATTTAATTGCTATGTTCTGTTACACAGCTACTATTAAAAAAGACAAAGTCTGGCTTCTAAAAAATAATTTTGAAAATATTTAGCATTACCAATTTGAAATCTATAGAGGCAAACTTTTCTCTAAAAGTAATTTGATTGAAAAATTACTTACTAAAAACTTTGACCACCTCTTTAGTCCTGAAGATATTATTCAGTTTTCGCTTCAATCTTTACCATTTTATTTGAAAAGTTCTGAGTCATTAGATAATTGCTTTAGAAAATAGAGCAGACAATATAAAATACTGAAGTTTCTCAAATTCGAAGTTCAAGAGAAAAACTTAAAAATGATATATAAATTTCGGGAAGTTTTACTACATTTGCTCACATCACTCGCAACAGATTATGAACTAAAAGAAAATAGAAGTCCTATCTCTAAAGTTTTACACGAACTAGTTTGTGATAAAATTAAGTCTATTTTACAGATTGATGAAAGACAAGAGCATAGATATTGGTGCGCAACATGGCGGTTAATTGAATTATTCAATTTAACACAATGTTTGGCTCTAATTCTTCTGAAATCTGGCATTTATCCAAGCTTTTTGAAAAAAGCTACTTATATGAATTATGATCAATTTCTTAAAAAACTTTTAAAAGATGAAGATGCATATTATAAAGCCAGTGTTGGTACTGGACATATGTCCAACTATTTTTATGCTATTGGACTGGACTGGGCATTGGACTTGGACATATGTCCAGTCCAATATGTCCAATAATGATTATATATTGATTAATATATTATTGTCCAATACTTTTTAGTCCAATGGATTGGACTGGACTGGACAAGTGTGGTCCAATGTCCATGTCCAATTGTCCAGCCCAACACTGCATAAAGCACCTAAATTTGATGATTCATTAATGAAAAAAATTAAAGAAAAGTAAGAATTATAACTCACCAATCCGATAGACCCAGTTAAAAAAAGCAGAAAGTATATATAATCACAAGCATTATAATAGATCTTTTACATATTCAATATTACTAATTCCCGATTTGTTAACATGTTTAATATCATTTTTCAAATCTAATTAATATAACTAGCTATTAAAATTGCATATTTTGTTTTATAATTGAAAATTGCTTAGTTCAAATATAATATTACATTTTTGTGAGCTCCTTCTTTAGATTGTCATTAAAATTAGAAATATATATTTAATATTCAACGGAAATAGTGTCCGATTTCTTTAATAGCAAAAAAATTAAAAATCAAATCGATATTAACATAAAAGAAAAGTTAATTCTATAGTTAATTTTATATTGATAATAAAGTTATACTATAACACAGTTAAAATATCTTTCGTTTACTGAAGTTTATTAAATTTGGTTAGAAAAAAAACTAAAATCAGGTAAAATAATAATTTTTCAATAACTAGAAAATTTTGATAATTCTAATGCTTTATTCAGATTTTTTATATTGCCATATTTTTTGTGTTACAAAACATTATGTTTTTTATATTACTTATATTTTCTAATTGACTTTTTAATATTACAAGTTGATTTTTTAAATTTTTGTTTGACAAATTTTGGTTATTAATACAATCTTCTGTATTAGAAATATCATTGTATATAGCTTTACCATTTTGGTTATATGTTCCTCTTCTATCTGTTCAACATATCCTTCTAGTTCATTGAAGTAGCAAATAATTATTTTACGTTCAGTGAAGTGATGTAGTTTAAATTTCCTATATTATTATTTGGTTACAACAAAAATTCCTATCTCTTTAGCTGAACTTCGAGTTTCCATAGTGTTTATAAATTCCTTATATTCATTTTGAAGATTTAGATATTTTTCTGTTTTACTAGATTTAGCTTGTACAATAATTTGGATTCCATTTTTATTACAAATAATATCACGACTTCCATCTCCTGTATTCTATAATTTCTAATTTGTAATGCATATTTATTAAATATATTATCCCTTAAACCGTATTCCAGGCAAATTTGCCTGGAATTTTGAAAAGTATTTATAATTTTTTAAATAAAATTAAAA